TCCTCTCCTCATAGGACACAGTTCAGTCTTCATCTGTTCAGTCAGTCATTTACTTCATGGCACTGGAGGAATGATTATTGAAGTTGTGGTTAATAATAAATAATACCAACTTAGGTGTTTAGGAACTTGTGCATGAATCCAGAGTCTCTAGGGTGTGTTATCCTATCCTAGATAAGGACTTATCCTTTATTCTAGGAGGTGAAAATAAAAATTGATAGTTCATTGATGAGGGTCTGGAAATTTTACTATATACATTATCTGTACATCTCACTTTCACTAGGAAGATTCGTCACCTTAAGAAATAGAGAGGCAAACATAAAGACATTGAAAACATTAAAAAGTGCCAAGGTGAATGACTCTGTATGCCAGTTTAAAAGAGGGAGAAATGACCTCATTTTTATAGTATCTAAAAATGCTTTTAGGCACTGCTCACATATGGCCCTCAAAGAGTAAACCCTTCACAGAGAGGAAGTTAGGGAATTTATGAAGGCAACCCAAGTGTGTAAGTGGGGGTTCACCATGAATGTGTTTCAGAATTAGTGACTAGTTGAGGCTAAGAAACAAATGCCTGTCAGGAGAAAAATCTGACTTAAATTCCTTGACTCGAGGTATTAACAATAACAATACTAAAAGGCATGCACTTTCAACTCTGAAAATCTAAGAATGAAAACAGGAATACATAGTTGAAGCAAATGCAATATCTTTTTTCTTTGTTTATATATGTATTATTTTTCAATCACAGTTGACATTCAAGAGTATATTAGTTTCATGTATGCATCATAGTGATATATAATTTACAAAGTGATTCCCCTGATAAGTCTAGTACTTTCTTGACACCATACATAGTTATTATAATATTGTTGACTATTTATGTACAAATGTACCTGACTGCTTTTGCCAACAATAAAAGCATTTTGGCCCTGGCTGTGGGGCTCGGTTGGTTGGAGCATCATCCTATGCCCTGAAAGGTTGTGGGTTAGGTTCCCCGTCAAGGCACATACCTAGGTAGTGTGTTCAGTCTCTGATTGGGTCACATGTGGGAGGCAACCAATCAGTGTTTTTCTCCCATATCTATGTTTCCCTTTTTCCCTCCTCCTCTCTCTAAAAATCAATAGGCATGTCCTTGGTGAGGATTAAAAAAAAAAAAAAAGCATTTTGACACTGTTTTCCCCTTAGGCAAAGTGTATACTGGGTATACACACTTTCTCATTTAAGTGTTTATGGGTAATTTTGCAATGGAGCAAATATTCCCCCACTGAACAAGCCATATCTCTTTGCAAACTTAAATACTCTATTGATGAGCTGCTCTTATAACCTATAATACATAAGCAATGAGAATAATTGGTTTCCATTTATCTATACTTATAGTTAACTTTAGAGAAACTTTTCACTGAGTATTCACTTGTCCCTAGAAAAGGAAAGTAACTTAATGTCTGCTGTACTCAAAGAGTTAGAAATCTTATTGAGGACTTAAGGCTTACATGCATTATTAAAATAGTGAAAAATATGTCAGTCTACTCATGGGCCAAAATGTGACTTACAGATACTAATTCAATGATTATTATGTTAGTACACATAAAACTATGTAGAAAGCCAATGAAACATGAAGATTTCCAAGCCACATTTTGATCCAAAAGGGCAACAAATCTGCATTTTTGTCAAGCACTCAGGATTATCTTTGATGCAGTTAAACCAAGGAGCCTCTTGAGCAGATGCACAGGGGTTTGAGCAAGGACTGGAATTGTCAGGATAAATTTATAGAAAGCAGGAGAGTTGAGATGAGGCTACAAGTTCTCACTTCAAGGATGGGTGGAATTTAAAGAAAGAGAAGGGAAGCATATTCTTGGAAAAGGGAAAGGTCTGAAGAAAAGCCCAAATTTAGTAGATGTGGCCTAAGAAAGGGACAACCAAAAAACAAGCCTGAAAGAAGCATGTGAGATGGCCACATAAAAGCTGCTGTCCACTCCCCTCATTTTGGTTGTCCATGCAACTTAAGCCTCTAGGACAATCTAACTTCTTTATGGAGGTAACCAGAATACATAAAGGAGACTATTTCAACCTCTTTATGCTTAAAATTATGTCTAATTTTAAGGTTGAGGGAACATGAAAAAGCAAGCTCTAGAACTACAATCCCTAAGCCAACCAAACCCAGTGCCTGTGTATACAAACTCTAAATGTGAGAATTTAGTAGGACACATGCTTTAGGATCCAGAAAGAACTGGATTTGAATTATTGTTACACCACTTATACCTGGCACATTTTACTTGGCCATCTTGAATTTCAGTTTCCAAATCTGTAAAATAGGAATAATAACAACACATACATTCACACCTTGTATTGGGTTTTGAAAATTGAGGTGGTAAATATAAACCCCCTGACACATAGTAGATATCTGTGAGTGAATGAACACTATTTGTAATATTTTTTTATCTTTGTAAAGTAGATGTTTTAAGTGGATTCATTGATGATTACAAATTCTGTGATTCATTTTGGGTCAGAAAGATAAAACCGCACAATAGTGATGTATTAAGAGATATTTATGTTTTTCTGTACAAAAAAAAAAAGAGGCAAAATTTAATTGTGGAACTGGTTAACAATGTGATGTGATTTAAAGGGTTCCCTAAGGTACGTTTCCAAGAGACTCAAAGTTTCCAGTTAGAGTCTCATCCCCTGGTGATTCTTGCAGAGGTATGCTGTTCATATTAGTCATTAGTGTTCAGTGTGAATTATTTCTCAGATCTTTTCTTTTTGTCACAGTGGAAAGAAAACTGCTGAGGGACAGAGATTGGATGGAGAAAGAAAAGTTGGAACCATTCTGTAATAAGGTGCACCCACAGAAGACCCAGTGGCTAGAACCACAGGCCATAATATGAGGGTCCTGCAAGCCTTCATCTGTTGAGAAACGGGCACTAGAATAGGTAAAATAGCGCACAGAAAGGAGGCACTGACAAATGTCAAGTGCTTTTCCTTTAGCCTCTGTCTGGTTCAAATACTATTGTTCCCTGCACTTTAAATTCCTTATTTCCATTAAATGTCACACAAATGCCTTTTTATTTTTGCTGTCATGTCACAAAGTAAAATCGTCTCATGTGAGAAAGTGAGGCTTACACGTACATTCTCACCAGATGACTGAGGGAAATCTGAGGACAGAAATGGTTTCTTCCAAAAATAGTTTTTAAAAAAAGCAATGAACTATTACATAAAAAAAATAAATATTGAAACTGCTTTAAGTAATTCTGTTTTTTAATGTGATTTTAAACACTATTTATTATTGCTGCTGTTTTATTGTTGCTCACTATTTATTGCTATTATTATTTATAATTACCTTCTCTTTCTGATTTGGAGACTTTTTCTGTTTATGTTTCACATTTTTCTGAATCATTATATGTATTATATGTTTAGAAATTTAGACTTTTAGAGGGAAAAAATGCCTTTTCATTTACATTAAAAATATAGTGAGTGTTGGCTCTGGCTGGTGTGACTCAGTTGGTTGGAATGTTGTCCCATATACCGAAGGGTTGTGGGTTCAATTTCCAACCAGGGCACAAGCCCGGGTTGGTGGGTTTGATCCCCAGTGGGGGCATGTAAGGAAGGCAGCTGATCAGTATTATCTCTCACATCGGTGCTTTTCTCTCTCTCTCTCTCTCTCTCCCCCTTCCTATCTCTAAAACCACTGAGCATATCTTAGGTGAGTATTAAAAAGACCCAAAAACAAACAAACAAACAAAGAATACAGTGAGTGTTGGTGAAAGATTAATTTTTCTTGACCAGAAAAGAAAGGAGAGTTACATTTGAGTGGTATTAAAAATAAGGTCTAAATGCTAACCATAGATTAGATAAAAGTGAAGTTATTCCTGCCAAAAAAAAAAAAAAAGGACTCTAAATTATAGAATGAAATGTGCTTTGTTTATATCTAGGGCCAGGTGCATAGTAGTTGCTCAATTGAGGTTTATCAGATGATTACTTTACAATACAATGAGAAGCAAACCAGAGTCCCTAGCCCTGAGGAGTTTCAAAATTCATCCTGCATATCTTCACACATACACACACGTGCACACACACACCCTTGGATGGCCCTCATGACTCACCTCTGTGTAGATCCCCTCATGATTATTTAGTCAGTATCAACACAATAATATCAGCTCAACCTTGAAAGAATCTTGCACGAGGGGTGCTTATACCAGGTTTTACAATAACTTCCGGTTTCTTATCAAAAGGGGCAATAGTGTCCAGGAAATACATAAAACTTTGCTTTCAAACCGTGAAGAAATCATTATGCAACTGAGTGTGGAATCTGGGAGAAAATACTACTCAATTTCGGAAGCAGTGCTAATTATCTTTTGAGTGAGAGCCAAGGATTACTGAATGAGAGAGGTCAGGAGTTCTGTAGATCAAACTTCACACAGGCAGTGTAGAAGGTTGCCTCAGTTCATTTTCTGAGAAGTTCCAGAAAAATCCTCTGTACCAAAAACTTGCCTTTTCACTGAATTTCCTACTATTGGATTTGTTGTTTCAATTCACACATCGAAAATGTGCATTTTTAGAAAGGGCAATGGGGGCACCCAGTCAAGACTTGCTCAAGGCACCACCTAAGCATGGTAACTACTCCTGTCAGGGAGCCCTAATGTCAGGGTACACCCAAAGGGGTGGAGAGGCCTCACTGTGGCAAACTCAACCAACCCTACTATTTTGCCTTCTCCTAGACTTGGCCAGTCTATATTCCAGTTCATGTAAACACAGAATATAGGGAAAGAACAGTTTTACCTTTCAAAAGCTACACCAGCAAATGGTCTTTGATTTCTTGTAAACATTCTTGGGCTTATCATTCCACATTAATTGTGACAGTAAAACAATAAAGATTGAGATTTAATTTTAACTCATGTTGGTCAGTCTAGGGCAGAAAGTGAAGATGATGAGCTGGAGAAATATTAATCCCAGCCGGTTATTTAACTTCAGCCTCATTTTGAGGAGAGCACTATTAAAGGCACCCACTCAGCACAATGAAACTCCTCAGTTATATTTTGGTTTATCGCCGGTGTCTCTTCATAGTTTTCACTCTACTGATTTTACTGCCCCTACCTATCATCCTCCACACCAAGGTAAGTGAACCTGGACAACAGGCTGCTGGGTTTCCTGATTTATTTAATTGTCCTTCCCTATTGGTCTAGGTTTTATTTCATTTTGGTATACTTGTAAGCAATTTTCTGTTTGCTTTGAAGTGCAGTCAGTCTACTAAGTCCAAAATGATAAACTTTTGCTTATAATTTTTAATCCCTTAGCAAAATGATTTGCATCAGCAGACATTCAGTGAGCACTTTCTGCCAGGCATGATGAATGTCACTCGCTGGTAAGAGGACAAGCCCTGGAGCCAGGCTCTCTGCTTTAAGTCCCAGATTGATCACTTGCAAGCTGCGTGACCTGGGCAAGTTACTTAACCTGTCAGTGCTTCTGTTTTCTCATACGTAATACTGGGAGAGTAATGGACTTGCTGTGGGAATTAATGAGTAAGCATTCATCAAGCACAAGTGGTGGCTGGTATACAGTAAGTGGGGTGATGTGGGTCCTCAAGTGCGTTGACTCCACAGCTGGTGCAATTCCTGCTATGATGCCTTTTCTCTGAGTAGAGAAAAGCAAGTATTAGTAAAGGTTATACCATTCTGGGTTAAAAGAAGATTGTTGTAATTATACTACCAACGGTCCTCCAGCCTCCCTCAGAAGTTGGCCACTAATCTGAGAATCTCTGCAGGAAATCCATGTGAGCTAATGAAAAGTACTTTTTGACTCCACCAAGGTCTCCTCTATCTGCAAAGATGGCTAGGAAAATGGCCTCTGCTGCCCACAGCTGCACCTTGTCTGCTGCCAGGGGCAACCACCCAGTGGTAGCCTCCCAGGCTGGGCCTCCACTTGCACTGAGGCCTCCTAGTCCTCTGTGGAGGAAGGAAAGAACTCCTCACTCCTTTTGGTCAAACACTGTCCTGAGCCCCCAGATTCCTACAGAATTTCTAGGGCAAACAGCAAGCACAGTCATTGTTTCTGGTTGACTATTACTCCCCTCTCCTCCCTGCCCCTCCCACTGCTGCTGCTTCTGAGACTCCTGTAAGAGTCTCTGGCAACCACTAGATGACAAATTTGAGTCTCAGACATAGTGCTCTAATCCAAACACCCGCCTCCAAGCCTCTTTGAAGACATGCCACTCCATCTAGCATGTATGATGGCTTTCTCTTTCCAGCTCCCCAATCCTGAAGTCCCCTACACCTAGCTGGATCCTACCATCAGCTCATCCTGGTTCATATTTGGACCCCTGCTCTAGCATAATGCCTCTGGGTTAGTCTCAGCATAGGTCCTTACTTTACAGCAGTGAAAATAAGAAATTAAACCAGTTGAGACATACTTAGGCCATGACTGCATATCATCTGTGCTGCTTCTTTGACATATAAACCCAGGACACTTTGATTATATTCCATAATTTTCAGAGAAAATGAATATAAACTTTTTGAAGGAGGAAACAGGTAAATAAATAAAAAACAATTATATCAGTGCATGATTCATTAACTGGAAAGTATAATCTTACTAAGAAATGCAGTCATTGATTTTTTTCAAGGTGCTGTGATAAGAGTACATTAGTCCTATGGGGAAAGCAGGGGCCTGGCATTTGATGAACTATGTTTCTCTTTCTTTTCCTCTAATCAACTCATTTGTTAAAACTCAAGCAATGTTGATAGGGATTTTTTCTAGTACAATAACATGATTTCATTTCTTGGCTACTCTAAATACATAGTCAATCATTTAATCAACTGCCAATTAAATTCAAAGAATATTATTTTAACTGCTACTTACAATGAAAGTAGAATTTTTTTTCCCAGAGAATATGTGCCTTTGTAGGGTATAAAATTTAAGTAGAGTTTTACTTTGACATAGATGCAAGGTAATTTATTATAACTTTCTGGTTACCAAACTGGAGAACCCTATGCTTCTAAACACACAGAAACAGAACAAATAAAAATTCAAGCAAAATAAAAAGTCAATTTTGCTTTATGAAAACATAATAAATCTACATGATCTAGAGCCAACAAACAATGAATTATTGACTGATTTTGTTTTTCATTTTCCTACTGGTTATTGAGTTGTTTGTATAGACTGACCTTAACACTTATCTTAATTCCATCTCAAGTAAAAACGTGGCATCAATAATGAGAGACCCTCATTGGTTTTCAATGTAATGTTCAAAGGGGAAAAGAAGGGATTCACTCAGAAAAGCTTGCTTCTGTCCCAGGTATGCGGTCAGCTGCTTTACTTAAATTATCTTATTTAACTTCATTACGAACAATAAGACAATCATCTATGTTCTATCATTCTCACTTTATGTTTGAGGAAAATAATGCTCAAAGGCCACATGGATGTTGTGGAAACTGGATTTGATCTTGGGTTCTGTCACAACTTCTAATTGATGCTTTAATAGTGGTTTTCTTTGGTCTTTTCTGTATTTTGTATTTTTGAAGATTTACCTTCTGTTTTGAAAAGTTACATAAAGTGTGGCTTGATAATCATTTATCAACAACTCAGGCATTTCTCTTCATGATAATGCTTTAAACAGGTAAAACCACAGAAGAAGGAACATCGTAGCATTTCCTCAATTGTCATGCTACTCACTGTCTCTAAGGTAGAAAATTGCAGTGATTCTAATCATTGGGGATGGCCCTTGTTAACCAGAGGAGAGGTTCAGGCTCTAATAAAGAACAAAAGGCACGTGTTTCAGCAAAAGGATGCACTTAGGAGAGACAGATTGAGGGAGCTACTCAACTGTGCTCTGGAGAGAACAAAATGCAACTCTTTCATGCAAGCAAAGACTTATTGACTAGGTTAACAGGAATTGGCTAGTTTCAATATGCAAATAAGGGAGATGGAAATCACAAGGAAGAGGTAAAGTCCAGGTGTGTCCATACAGCAGTTCCACAATGTTTATGACTTAGCCTTGAGCTGAGTTTAGCAATAGGTTTAGCAACTTAATAGCAGTTCTGAGAACTGAGGCACAAGACATGCATTTGCCCCACTTCCTTAATAGCTTTCCGACTCTCTTTTAAAGTGACTCTCTTAGCAATGCTTATTCTATTTTATTTCTCCATTATCAGCCCACGAGAACTGAAGTAGTGATGGGTCTTCTTATATGTGTCATTTGGTGAATGTTCCAGACTCCAAGCTATACAAGCTGATGATGTCAGCTTGTCAGAATATGATACCCCTTCTCTTTCACATCAAATGCTCTCTGTGAGTCATGGCATTAGGTTGGCATCTTGATATCTTTAAGTTAGAACAGACCTTAGAACTGTGTTTCAGTTTTCATGGAACTGATACTTTATAGGAGAGTATGCCTCACCCCAGAATTCCATGGGCATAAGCTCAATTTTAATCTTTATGAGTTGCAATTGGCTACACTTATCAGGTTGGGTTCCTGTCAAGTTCATCCTGTTTACAGCTGGTCTACAAAATACTGTGCTACATTTTAATGTTTAGCAAGAATAGCATTTAGTAAGAATGGCTCAGACCTTGAGACCCTTGTCTTAATATTTCCAATCGACACCTGTCTGACTCTAGAGCCAGTGATTGCAACCACAACTGAATAGGTATATCTTTATATCTTCAACAGTGGTAATAAGTATACTCCTAATACATTGGTATAAATGTCGCTTTACTAATGGAATCCTATTTTCTTATTGCTTAACACTGAATCATCAGTAATGCTGTCTTTTTTATTGTTACATAGACATCAAGGTAGCCTTAGTCCTTCCCCAATTAGTAGTTATTGATCAGTAAAACAAGCTTATAATGTAATTGCTATTTATGTAAATATTTGAGTGAAATTAATAATTGCACTGACTTTTCCTCATTTTGGAGAGGAAATTTCTTAAATATTCCTAGATAAAAACTTGCTTAAACAGGCCTAGGCTATGTCCATAGCTCCAATGATATTATTTTCTGTGAAACATTGTTCTTTTGTGACTATTTCTAACATATTGCTCATTTTTACTCTTCTCAGCACTCTGTGCTATTTCTTTACTTATTTTTCCAATTCTTGGCTTTTCTTTCTATAATGAAACAAAAAGATTTAAAAAGGCTGGGTCTGAGGAGCAGTAAGAGGAGAAAACTGAATAATATTTTTGTTTGTAGAGTGCATTTCTTCCTAGTATGTTTCCATCTATCTAGTTTATCCATTAATTAGGGCCCCTTTTTGAGATAAGGAGACAGGGAAACAGCCACCAACTATTGAGCAGCATTCTCCAGTTGACTAGTTGTAAAACCAAGACCAGATTTCAATTTTCTCTCAGGTACTTCTGTATTTCTCTAGAAAATATTTTACAGCAAGAGAGACTTAAAAAGAGAAGAGAATGGGAGAGTGAACACAGTAGGGCTTTAGTGCCTGCCAAAGACTCAAGGAAGAAGCCTTAGCCTCACCCCTTAGCACTAAACCCAGACAACTCACATGACAAAATTATTTGCCAGAGGATGTGGGTTAGGGAGGGAGGAAATTCAACTTTAAGGGCTGGCTCTATTCAAGTGTTGTTTCCTTCACCATATATTCATTTTATACATCATGAATTTCAAAGTTAGAATAGAAATTCTAATAAATAAAATAAACGATACACAATGAGAGACTTATGGTGCTGAATCTAAATAAACTAAACAGATGGGAGCAACACAGTACTTGTAAAGAACTGTAAACTTTAAAGGGATAAAAGACCTACTTAGAAGTCTATCATAGAAAATGAAAATGAGTGGGAGAGAATTTAAAAAGACAAGTGAAAGAAGAGGGGGGAACAAATTCCAAGGAAGCATAAAGAACTTTTAAAGGGCCATATCAAATAATTAAATATTTTAACAGAAACAATTGATATCATTTTAAATGTTGCTTTAAAATATTTTAGGGATGTAAGATATGTGGGGAGGAGGGATACTATAAACTCTAAGAAACTGAATATTTTAGACAAAGAGAGCATCAAAATGATGAAGGGCAAGAAAAAATAGAAAGTAGAACTCATGTTAAGAGTACTGTGGTAGATGAACAAAACCAGAAAATCCAAATTTCATCTATTTTTATCTCATG